ATGCAAATTCTTATGTCCGATGCTAATCATTGTTAAATATAATATAGTGGCCATTCGGTTACTTTTATTATTGGAAATTGTTAGTGATATCATGTAGAAAATTACTGTAGTATCAAGATTATCAATATCCATTTTGTGAAAAGAGAGCCTGCTGCTTAGGGGCAAAAGGGTCACTATTTCTGGACATAAGTTTTTGTTCAAAACTGTTAAATTTATAAAACTTTATTGTACTTCATAGGCATATGAAACTGCATTCAGTTTACTTTACGATAAACGCGTGGTGTTTGTGTCCAAAGTTTAGTTGACCTAAACTTTTCACGCATTTATTACTTGTTTTGGATTTTTGTTTGCATTTTGAAACTCAAGTCAAAACACATTTCCAGACACAGACACTGTTTGTCTCCCTAAACGTTTGGATCAATTGCGGTGATAATGTCCGAAGAAGTGAAGTATGCATTGAATGGTGTGTTTGCGGTGATTATCACTCATTATCTCTTATACTGACCACTCGCTTGCCGTTAATAAAGTTATGATAAGTGTTATTATATTATAGTTAAATACACTATAAGTGGACTAAATTGTATACAAATTAATAACTATTGTAACAATTTTGTATATATATTATGCAAACAAATGTTTATTGATTATAAGTTAGAATTAATATAATTAATATTCATTATTATTATTATTTGTGAAAAATATATTATTTAATAAAATGTCAACTGTAATTAATAATTATAAAATTTGTGATCAAATACCACAACATTTAAAACAAGAAATTAAATATTTTTCAAAGACTTGTGGGGATACATTGACTGTGGGGACATACTGTTTGTGAAATTTGATGATATCATGTATGGATTGAGATCTAATAGTGAGGGTCAGCTCGGGTAAGGACACAACACACCCATTCATACACCACAACGAGTGCCAGAACTATGCCATCTAAATATACATCAGTTTCTAAGTGGAAAAGACTTTGTATTGGCTGTCAATACGGATAATAATGTGATATTCAGTTTCGGTGGTAATATTGAGGGACAATTTGGACGGCATGTGGATATGGATGTGAATGTATACCATAAACCGGATACTATATTATATTTCCAAACAAACAATTTAAGTATTTCACAAATAAGTTGTGGTTATTATCACACAATTGTGTTAACGTCAAATGGACAGGTATTCGGGTGGGGGAGTAATAAACAGGGACAGGTTGGTTGTGGAAATAAAAGTTTTCAATTAGATTCAACTCCTGTTGAATTTGTCACTGAATATCAAATTAGTAAAATAGAGTGCAATGAGTATACATCGCTTGCTATTACTTGTGAGGGACAGGTGCTTATATGGAGAATGGTAGATAATAAGAACTCCATATCTATTAGAAATTGAAATAAACATACACAATGCATTTACAAGTTATGGATAGAAGGTTTTAATGAATTTAAGGGTTTTAATTAGTTTTTTATTTTTTAGAAAAATCTAAAAATAATTAAATAAATGAGATTATGTTTGAAATATTTGACAAATAATGTAGAATGTCAAGTTTTGAAGTACCTGTACATACAAAGTAATTTTTTGGGTATTTAATCAATACAATTTTGTTTAATAAGTTATAATATTATAATGTATATAATTTATAGCAATAAAATTGACATGGATCAATTATTGACAGTTATAAGAAAGTAATTTGATTTGACAAACGAAAGTTTTATGAGTTAGTTAAACAGTCATGTATTTATTCAAATTCAATTATACTCGCAAAATGATCTGTATGAATTTATTAAAATAAAACGATTATTTCTCGACAAATATTTTATAGAAATTTATTAAATAATTATATGAAACAATTTACACAAACTGTATGTACAGTATATAGATTGTAAATATTATTAATATAAGATACACTACGCTATTGTGCACAATACTTAATAATCTCAACAACCTTGCTGACTACTTGCTTAGCAATAATCATGTCATCGATATTTGTTTTTCTTAATAAAGTTATGATACGTGTTGTTATAGTTATATACACTATAGTGGAGTTAATTGTATGAAAATTAATAACTTTGTCACCATTTTGTATAATTATTATACAAATAAATGTTTATTGATATGAATTAATATAATTAATATTCATTATAATTATTATTTGTGAAAAATATTTTATTTACTAAAATGTCAACTGTAATTAATAATTATAAAATTTGTGATCAAATACCACAACATTTAAAACAAGAAATTAAATCTTTTTATATTTTCAAAGACTTTTGGGGACATAACATACTGTTTGTGACATTTGATGATATGGTGTATGGATTGGGATTTAATAGTGAGGGTCGGCTCGGGTTAGGACACAACACAACCATTCATACACCACAACGAGTGCCAGAATTATGCCATCAAAATGTACATCAGTTTATCAGTGGATCTGACTTTGTATTGGCTGTCAATACGGATAATAATGTGATATTCAGTTTTGGTCGCAATTGTTGGGGACAATTGGGACGGCATGTGGATAGGGATGCGAATGTATACCAAAAACCGGATACTATATTATATTTCCAATCAAACAATTTAATTATTTCACAATAAACTCACGATAAGTCGAATAATTCAATATCATTTGAAAAATCATTTAATGTAATAAATAAGCTTGGTGGGGGTGTAATGACAGGGGACAGGTTGGTTGTGGCGATGAACGTATTCAATTAAATCCAACTCCTGTTGAATTTGCCACTGAATATCAAATTAGTAAAATCGAGTGCTTTTGGTATACATCACTAGCTCTTACTTGCGAAGGACAGGTGCTTATATGGGGAATGGTAGGTAATAATATAATAAAAACACCAAATCTATTAGAAATTGAAATTATCATACACAATGCACTTCCACAAAGTTCTTTATGTGCATATTTGTTATCTAAACATGGTCAATTATATCGATATGACTTTCATAATAGTTGTTTAGAAATTTTATCATATTTGGTGTTAAATGAAATCAAACAGAAAGATTACTTTGAAATTGTGGGAAAATCTGGTGATAAAATATATGAAATTATTGACCGAACTCTGTATGAAACCAATTATACATCATTTGATGATTACTTTTCACATGACTTGCAAATCACTTTAAATACCATTTCAGTACATATTCAACAAAATACACCAATTTGTGGTAAATATTACAATAATGCCTTAACTGTTATTATTATTATTCATTACAAAAGAACACTGTCATAATGTAATAGATAATTTGCTAAGTTGGAATCGACATTTTTTGATTGGATATGAAAGTCCATTCAATGTTGAGTCTGAATATGTAATTTACATTGTCCTGTGACCTCGGGTTTGGCCGCAGTGACCATATTTATCGGGGAATTTTCTATATAAAATGTCAACATGTGATATATCAGTTTTATAGAGAATTTTACAAAGAATGCGATGGTATTAATTACATTAATAAATAATTTCATTTTCGGCAAGAAATTGTCAGATTATTGCTTTAAAATGTTTAAAATCGCATTATATTTGTTAAATTTTAAGGTTTCACAATTGTGACTTATATATTTAAGGTCCTTGTAAAATTCTCTATAAAATTGATGTATCACATGTTTATATATACTATGATAAAATAAACCGATAAAAGTGGTCACTCGGGCCGAACCCGAAGTTCTAGGACAAAGTAAATAATATTTTCAGACTTCCTATGGATCGTACTTTTATATCATAATGTAGAAGCCCAATTGCCAGCTCAGCAAAAATTACCTTAATTAGCCACAATGGCCACTTTTGTCGGTTCATTTTATCATTATAAAAATAAACATGTTATATATCAATTTTATAGAGAATCTTACAAGGACCTTGAATATATAAGTAACAATTGTCAGACCTTAAAATTTAACAAATATAACGCGATTTTAAAGATTTTAAAGGAATAATCTGACCATTTTTGACAGAAAATGACATTATTTATTAATCTAATTAATACCATCGTATTCTGCGTAAAATTCTCTATAAAACTGATATATCACATGTTGACATTTTATATAGAAAATTCCCCGATAAATATGGTCACTGCGGCCAAACCCGAGGTCACAGGACAATATAAATTACATATTCAGAGTCAACATTGAATGGACTTTCATATCCAATCAAAAAATCCCGATTGCCAGCTTAGCCAGATCGTGACAGTCTTCTTTAATAACAGTATTATATCTGATATATATATTCAAAATCAGCTTATATATTGGATATGAATTTAAAGATTTTTCATTGCTTTCGAGTAAAGTATAAAACTTAATAAAGTTTAGTATAAGTAGCATGAATTGTACATAACTAAGTTTATGACTATTTTTATATTTGTATT